ATGAAGATATAGCCGTGATTCTGAAGTGCCTCCTTACAGCACTTGTCTTCAATAGGAACAATTAACTATCTTCAGGTGAAATGTAATTACTTCAGGTGAAAGCTGGAGTAACTTAATCTCACACAAACTGATCAGGACTTAAGAAACTACAAGAAAGTATTCACCAATCCATGCCAACTTGAATGCATCACATGGTCCCGCATGTGTTTCATTTTTAAGGAGTGAATGAACAATCCTGTTATGAGAGCAAGTGTATGACCTTTTCTACATCATGTTACCGTGTCTGAGATTGCTGCCTCATTGCCCAGTGAGCCATTACCAGAGATTCACATGCCACAGAGGGTTTATATTAAAACGAGAAGGAGAAAGACAGAAAGCAAGTCAGAAAGGAAGAAAGGAAAAAAGGAAGAAAGGAAAGGAAGGAAAAGAAGGAAAAAAGCTTTTAGCATTAGTCATATTGCCAGTGATTTCTGGAAAGCCAGCAGATAATTACACTCTCACGCTGCAGATATATAGACCATGAAATCCTATTGGCCGGATGATATTGTTATAATAATCAATGACTGAAATGTCATTACTCGAAGCATACCACATTCAGGATAGAGTCTGATGGTGGAACGTGAAGAAAGGAAGGGAAGGGAATTGGGGACATTTTGTTCCTCACTGAATTTGCTGTGAGGATCTACTGAGAAGACACACTTTGTGTTCTATATGCATTACTGGTCATACACAGCTCCTCAGCTTTTCACAGGAGTGACTGCAACATTAATAGTCACGCTGGGCAGAGCAATAGACTGGTGAATCTTATGAACTGGAATACATTTTACAATTTATTGTGTTGTCCTTGTATGCCGTTACTGCGTATAGTATGTTTTAACAGCCTAGATCTATACAGAAGATGCATCAAATGAATCACTAGAGAGCTGAGATCCTCCAACTGTACACCAGGAATGATCATAGCTTTCTGTCACTGTGTTGGGTTTGTGTGTGGTGGAGGTTTGGTAGCAGGGGATGGGGGCTACAGCGGTGGCCCCTGTGAGAAGCTTCTCAAAGCTCCCCCTGGCTCCAAGTCAGACCCACTTCTGGCCAAGGCCGAGCCAACTAGCGATGGTGGCTGTGCCTCTCAGATAACGTATTTCAGAAGGGGAACATGAGAGGAGGAGGAGGAGTGGGAGTTGTGAAGAGGAGTTGCAAGGAGAACATCTGTGTGAACGCTGGGGAGAGTGAAAGGAAGGAGGAGGAGGAGGAGATGTACTGGAGCAGAGACCCCGCTGCAGGCAATGGAAGTCACCGGTGGAGCAGATGCCACCTGCAGCCCGTGGAGGACCCCACATGGAGCAGGGACTGTGCCTGGAGAGGACCAGGACTCTGAGGGAAGAGGCCCCCACTGCTGTAGTTGAGAACTGGGAGGACTGGAACACACGGGGGTGACCCACGCCTGAGCAGCCTGTGGGAAGGACTCAAGTTACAGACAGTTTGTGGAGGTTTTTCTCTCACGAGAGGGAGCCCACACTGGAGCAGGGGAAGAATGTGAGGAGTCCTCCCTCTGAGGAGGAAGAGCAGCAGGACTGACCACACCCCCCCATCCCCTGACCCCTGCACTGCTGAGGGAAGGAGGTAGGGAAATCAGGAGCAAAGCTAAGCCTGGGAAGAAGAGAGGGGTGGGGGGGAAGGTGTTTTTAAGACGTAATGCTTCTCACAGTCCTACTCTGTCTAGTAAATGTTGCTGTTATTAGTGCCTGAATTCAATTTATATTCTTTTTTCTTCCTCTAATGAGTCTGTCTCTTGCCTGTGACTATAATGGGTGAGTCATCCCTCCCTGTCCTGGTCTCAATGCCTCAGCCTTTTGCTTCATGTTTTCCTTACCAGTTCTGAGGGGGAAGGGGTGAGTGTACTGCTGCATGGTGCTCAGTTGCCTTCTGAGCTCAAACCATGACAATAGCACAGAGGTCTGTAAGACTGTATACCCAGGGCAAAACAGACTTGAGTTCATGCTTTACATAGTGTGTGTCTTCGTATAGTGAATTCATGTGAGATTCCCTTCAGTGCCCTGTAAATAATCACACATATATGTAACTTGTCCTTTCTTCATGCAGAAAATACACTTATACTCCACTGTGTAAATACCCTTGATCATACCTCCTCTGGTGTTAGCTGACACTGCATGACTAGAGACACTGAAGAAGGGTCAGTGTAAAACAAATAAAGACCTGACCTGATGCCGAGATAAATGTGTCACAACATAACGCAGTTATAGAACAAGAAGCTACTGACAAATGGCTTCACCCGCTGGGGATTTGAGCTTTAGGTGAGAGCATAAGCATCCAATATTTCTTTACCCTACTTCTGACGCTTTATCTTTTCAACCTTGAGCAAAATCACCCAGGGTGGGAAGAACTGGGAGAATGGAACAGTGCTGATACAACAAAACAGCTTGTAATAACCCAGACTGGCATCCAGTTAGGAAGACAGAGATGGCAGTAGCATCACGGGGAGAAAACTTGTCTATGAAACACCAACACCACAACTGGATCTCAAATTTTCATCAGGATCAGTGCCAGAACCCATAAAAACATACAAGTCCCAGCAGCAAATACATGATCTACTTTCAGGCAACACAAAACTAAGAGGTACTAAAATAAGAGGATGAAAGTAGACATGAAGGCAAGAGTAAGAAAATCCTGAAAATCCTCTGAGCTGTCCAGTGGCACAACCTCTGCATGAACTGCTGCCTGGGGCTGTGACCATAGCACTGAGTCTTGGCCTCTACCTGACCTGCTGCTTCAACATCCTCCTCTTCTTCACGCCACTCCTCCTCCCTTCTCAACAGCTATTCTTCCAAACAGAACGTGGGCTACTGACATGCCTCAATTTCAGGCAGGAACTTTCCCTTCCCCTCAGTGCTGCTACTAAATCTCTCTCTCCTGGAGAGGACTGTTTATTTTTTATAACGTTTATCTTTCTCTCCAGGAGTCAGAAGGATTATCTCATTACTATTCAAATAGCTCTTGGAAGACTGAAAGGATTAAATCAATACTATTAGTATAATTACTGAGAGCAGTGAGGAAACCATGCAATGACAGTAGACAAAGCAGACTAGAAAACCAGTAATACCTACAGTTCTCAAATACAGCCTCCTGCAGCAAATCTTTCTGCTCATCCTTCAGTTCCTTCCTTACCATCAAAGCTATATGATGCCATTACCCAGTGAATGTCTGAGCAATCTGACATGGCCCAGGGAGCCATGTTTTCCTTCCCAGACTGCACTATTGTTCACATAATTGGCTTCTGGATCATGAATGGAGAGCCTGTGCCTGCCTTAAGTCCAAGAGATGTAAACTTTGAGCCTGAGGGGCCTGAACTGTTCCTGTACTGGTTTGAGAAGAGCCTCCGCACTTGCACCCACCACGGTGCCTCTAAGCTACTTCTCTAGCTGACACTTAACAAGGTCTCTTGTCTGGAGAGAAAACATCACAGTCACTTTCTTTTCAGAAAATATCTCCATGACGGTTTCTTATTTCTGTATCTCCTAATCAACAAGAAAATCCCTCATGCTTAATGGATATTGCCTTGGCTTGTCAAAGCATATTTAAAGCTTTTTGGTGACAATTTGGAAGACAAATGTGGAGCCTCGGGAAAGTTCCATATAACTTTCTAATTCAAAGAGACGGAGGAGCCAGCTGCCCTGCTGTGATACTGCTCTCTTCATTAGATAGGCAGGACTCCTCACCTCACCCCACAGCAAAATCATCTGTCTCAAAAGCGCTGATCCAGGGTTGAAACAGGTTCTTGATGAGAAACACTGCAGCAGCTGTTTGCCATGTATTTAAACGAGTTTTGCTGCAGTCAAAACGAATCAGGTCCCAAACTAGTCCTGGTAGTGTTCTCACCACCTCCCACACTCCTGAGGCTGTACGCTGAGAGGTATTTACATGTCCTACACAACAAAATGAAATGGAAACAATTTCTTCAAATCCCAATTGTAAAACAATAACCCTATGTGAAAAAAGATATTAAAACTATGTGTTTCAATTTAAATAGAAATCAAACGGCAGATGAAGGTATCATAGACAGAACTAGTTGTAGCTAAAACATCACTAGATTTAAATCTCACACAGTATGGCTGTAAGCTGGAAGCTTTTAACAGAATCACAGGACATCCCCCCGTAATATGCTATAACCTATTCCCAGTCCCATGAAGCGTGATAATCTCAATAACAAGGAGAAACTAAATATATTCATATCAAGAGACAAATCAGCATTTGTTTATTAGATACCACCATCCGAATACATCACATGTGCACCACGGGTACAGTGAACACGCTCCCTATCTTCACAGGCATGTAGTTCTAGACTTGTGCTACAAAGGGCTACTTTAAGTATTTATTGCTGCCTCATTGTGTTTCACTCATGAATAAAAGATTCAGAGCATGAAAAAAATGAATGAAATAGCACAATCATTTAAAGTTATTTAAAAAAAAAAAAAATCGTGTCCCACTTCAGTGGGAGGGGGCAATTCATCAATTCAGCTGTCACTTAAAATCTGTCTTGAAAAACACTAATGTTCAAAGATTAACATTTATGAATTATTAATGCTTCCTGTTTTGTAAATTAGTTTGAATCATTTCATGCGTTTCCAGTCCTGGAATTCCTCTCCCCTTCATCTGGAAAGCTACACTCTCATCACAGTAGCTTATCAGTTCTCTGAAACCTCGAGTAATGCTCTCATTCCTCTAACTGTATTTTTCTTTTACTGAAATTTGTCTACTCTGCTCTGTATAAACAACAAGCAGAACAATAAAGAGGTTACAGAATATTGTCAATATACTGCATCTTTCCATGTAGCATCTTCATATCCTGAATGCGGGCAGCAGAGGGACGAGATCGGGGGGCGGGGACGGGACAGCAGGGCGAGGATGGTGCTAAGGGGATGGGGTTTGGGGGGCAACAGCGTCACTGGGGGTGCACTGGGGGGGGATTCCAGGGGACGGTCACTCACTGCCTGTAGTCCATGCTGGAGTTGTGCACCAGGTTCCGTGCCGCCACTTTCATCAGGGCCTGCGGGGGGGGGACTGTCTCT